CTGGAGGCCGGGCTGAGGTGGAGGGTTCGGGAAACATGGGGTCTCTCTGATGTCGGCAGTAAACAGTGTGTAGTAGAATGTCAGAGAGGTTTTCATTCTGAGGAACCTGGAAACCATGGCATGTTGTGAACAGAAGTGGGATATAGTCTATATTAGGGTTTCAGATTCTTCTCCAAGAGCTGATCAAAGAGGGAACACACTCAACTGGGAGTGAAAAGGACAGTGAGTCGTAGGGAGGGGAGTCCTCATCCAGGATCACAGCCCTGGTAAGAGGCAGCACTGAGGACTGAGGCGCAGAGGCTTGTCCGTGGTCACCGGGATCCAGGGCTGGTGGGGATACAGGGGGGCCTGACCTTACCTGGAGCCCAGCCCTGATTGCTTTCCTCTCTCCACAGGCTCTGAAGGAAAGAGCTGTGCATTCCAGTTAGGTGGGGGAATGCAGGTCATCATGGCTATACTGTTAGCTGGTCTGAAAGAAGAGGGTGCATGATGCGTGGTTTCCCTGCTCTGCACCTGGTCAGGATTGCCGGGCACTCAACAACCCAGCTTCTCCCCTAGGTGAAGAGTACGAGTTAACACTGTAACCGTATGGAAGAGAGTGGTCTGACAGGTGACTAAGGCTTCTATGGGATGAGGGGACGTGAGATGGCTTTGGAGGCATAGGAGTAATTGAGACAGGTGACTGTGAGGTCTGGGCTCTTGCTTATTCAGTAACGTACAGCTTCACCAGGATTTTGTGGTGAGCTTTGGTGGAATCTGAGGTGTTCCGTCTTGACGGTGAATAGGTCTGGGGCAAATGTGGTCATTTGTGAGAGTCACTGTGCCTGACAGTGAGACCATCAAGGCCAGGGTTCCAAAGAAGACTGAGGGGAGAGAGGAGAGTTGTGGCTGCTGAGAGGGCAGGAAGTGCGACACAAAAGTGGAAGTGGGTCATGGGCATCTGTAGTCGCATGTATTTCTGGGTCGCTAATATTGAAGCAAGGATCAATAAAGGTATACAGGAGGCATTCAGAGTAGCATCTGTCTTTCCCCAAGTGCACAGCTGTGGGAGTGCAGCTGTGGGGATTGCAGAGGTTAATGAGGTACAGTCTGCAGAATGATGACCACATTGGGAGGAAGTGTCAGCCCCTCGTCTCTGGTATTGGGGACTGAAGGTGAAGCCTGGGCCCAACTTTGGCTATGTCTTTGAGTCACGCTCTAGAGGCCCAAGGAAAATTGATCGACAGGTTGGATGGGACCCCACAGGCCAGGACCAAAGTTTGGATGACATGTCTGTACCATCCTACTCGATGTTGCTGAGGACTGAATACAGTGATTAAAGGGACCCTGAGGATAGGGTGGGCATCAAAGGCACCTAGAACTGGAATTCTTGTGTGGTGGGGAGCTCTGGAGGAGGATGAGGGAGGGACAGATGAAGTATGAGAAGGGTTGTGGGATCTCAGAGAGAGTGTTCATAGTTTAATCTGTCTCCATCGTAGCAGTGCAGTGTGACGCTTGAGGACATTGCAGTGCACTTCTCCTGGGACGAATGGAGACTCCTTGATGAGACTCAGAGACGTCTGTACCTCGATGTGATGCTGGAGAACTTTGCACTTATCTCCTCACTGGGTAAGACTCTCACAGCCTTCTCAGTGACCTGGGCTATGTTCAATCCCACCTCACCCCCCTCTTTCCCCAGGGAGTGCTGTTCTTCTCACATGTGGACTGTGGGCACTACTTGCTTCCTAAGCTTTCTAGGTGGTTGCTATGGTAACTAGGGCTGATTCTTTGCACTGTCCTCTTCTTTCTCCTGCAGCCCCAATACCTGCTTTACTGAACCCTGTTAGGAAAAGGATTCAAGATCAGTAGTATCACAGTGAACTTGATGGATTCTACAGTACCTGTCCTCTCTCTGTCTGAATCTGTGTCCACATCCATTTCACCTGTGTCCCAGGTTTTGCTCCCTTCTTGTAGCTGACATTTCCTTGTCCCCGCCTGTGCCAGGCATGTAAGCATTGTCAAGGTTATTACTTACCTGGACCATGAGCTACTCTCCAGAGCCCTCCTGCAAGGTTTGTAGTGTTTAGACTTTTTTTCTTTCTTTTTTTCCCCAGTCTTGTCAAGATATGAAATTTTATATACTAATGTGTACAAGTGATGATTTGATGTATGTATATATTGTGAAATAACTGTCACAGTGAAATTATTTAAACAGCTATCACCTCATAAAGTTACATTATTATAGTAATAATAATTATTGTTATTATTTTGGTGAGAATGCTTAAGATCTACTCTCAGTAACTACCAAGTGTACAACATCATTGTTAACTAGTCACCATGTTATTAAGTTGCATCCTCAAAACTTACTAATCTTGTAACTGAAAGTTTGCACCTTTTGACCAACATCTCCCCGTTTCTCCTTTTCCCCAGCTCCTGGCGTTTTACTCTCTGCTTCTGTGATTTTGTCTTTAAAAAAAAATTCTGATTACATTGTACAAAGAAGGATTTCCTTATATATATGCCCTCACCAACACTTGTTAATTCTGCTCTTTTTGATGGTAGCCGTCTTATCAGGTGTGAAGTGATGTCTCATTGTGGTTTTGATTTGCATTTTCCTGATGATCAGTGAGGAGGAACATTTTTTTGTATGTCTATTAGCCATTTGTAGATCTTTTTTGATAAAGTGTCTATTTGGGTCCTTTGCCCACTTTTAAATCAGATTATTCTTTGGCTGTTGAGTTATAGAGTACCTTATACATTTTAGGTATTAACCCTTTATGAGGTATGACATTTGCATATGTTTTCTACCTTTTGTTCATTGCTTTCTTTCATGTGCAGAAGGTTTTTAATTCAATGTAGCCTAGCTTGTTTACTTTTGTCTTTGTTGCCCGTGCTGTTGGTGTCATATCCATTTCTGGTAAAAATGCCTTTGGACTTTTGTTAAAGATCACATAGAATCTGTAGGTTCCTTTGGGTAGTGGGGATATTTTACCAATAATAATTCTTCCAATCCAAGAATGTGGGATATTTTTTCACTTATTTGTGTTTTCAATTTCTTTCATCAGTGTGTTACAGTTTTTAGTGTACAGATCTTTCATCTCCTTGGTTACATTTATTCCTAAGTATGATTGTTTTCAGTGCTATTGTAAATGAGGTTGGTTTCTTAATTTCTTACTTAGATATTTCATTGTTAGTATATAGACACAACTGACTTTTGTATGTTGATTTTTATATTCTACAAATTTACTGAGTTCATTTATTCATTCTGACAGCTTTTTTGTTGGGGATTTTAGGGTTTTCTTTATATAAGATCATGTCACTCACGGCGAAAAAAATGTGACAATGAATATATGTATGTTCATGTATAGCTGAGAAATTGTACCCTACACTGGAAATTGACAGAACAGTGTAAAATGACTATAACTCAATAAAAAAATGTTGAAAAAAAAGATCATGTCATCTGCAAACAGAGTTTTGATTCTTTTTTCTGATTTGGGTACTTTTCATTTCTTTTTTTTTTTTTTTGGCTTTATTTTTCTGGCTAGGAACCATTACTATTTTGAAAAACAGTGGTGAGGCTGGCATCCTTGTCTTATTCCTGATCTTAGAGAAAAAGCTTTTGCCTTTTTACTTTTCAGTATGCCAGTAGTTATGGAATTTTCTCATATGGCCTTTTTAATATTGGGGTGTATTTCTTCTCTTCTTCCTAAGTTTTTGAGAGATTTTATAATGGAAGGGTTCTGAATTTTGTCAAATGCTTTGTTTGTGTGTGTGTCTATTGAGATGATTATACTTTTTTTTTGACCTTTATTCTGTTTAAGTGGTTATAGTAGCTCATTTATTGATTTGCTTATGATGGAACATTTTTGTATCCCAGGGATAAATCCCACTTGATGACAGTTTATGATTCTTTTCATGTGCTATTGAATTTGGTTGGCTAGTATCTTGTTCAGTTTTTTTTTACATCTATTATCAGGGATGTTGGCCTGTACTTTTCCTGATGTATCCTTGTCTGGCTTTGGTATCAGGTTCATGCTGGCCTCCTAAAATGATTTTGGAAATGTTCCTTCCTCTTCAAATTTTTGGAAGAGTTTGAGGATTGACATTAATGCTTCTTAAAATGTTGATAGATTTCACTGGTGAGATCTGTATGGTCATGGCCTATTTTTGTTATTGGGAGATTTTTGATTATCGATTCAACATCCCTACTTGCTATTGGCCTCTTCAGTTTTCCAGGTTGTATGTTTCTAGGAATTTATCTGTTTCTTCTAAGTTATCTAATTTGTTGTATAACAGTTTGTAGTAGTCTTTTATGATCTTTTGTTTCTCTTTTATTTCTTGCTTAATTTATTTGAGTCTTTCTTCTAAGTCTAGGTTAAGGTTTGTCAATTTTATCTTTAAAAAAAAGTTCTTAGTGTTGTTGATCTTTTCATTGTTTTTCTAGTTTTTATTTTGTTTATTTCCACGCTGATCTTCATTTTTAACTTTGTTCTGCTAACTTTGGTCTTAGTTTGTTCTTTTTCTAGTTCCTTGAGGTATAAAGTTAGGTTGTTTATTTAAGATCTTTCTTTTTTCTCAATGCTGGTATTTATTTCTCTAAAATTTCTATTAAAACTGACTTTGCACATTCCATATTTTTTTTTCCATTTTTGTTTGTCTCAAGATACTTTTTGATTTTCCTTTTGGTTTTTCCTTTGATTGATTGGTCAGGAGCATACTGCTTAATGTTCACCTATCTTTGGAGTTTTTAGCTTTTATCCTGTTGCTGATTTCTAGTTTTATCCATTGTATTAGGAAAAGGTACTTGATATGATTTCAGTCTTCTGAAATTTTTAAAAACTTGTTTGACGTAACATATGATCTATCCTAGAGAATATTCCATGTGCAATTGAGAAGAACGTGTATTCTGCTATAGTAGGATAGAATGTTCTGTATACATTTGTTATATCCATTTAGACTAAAGTGTTGTTCAGTTCAAATATACCCTTTCTTTCTGGATATCCATCTATGTTGAAAGGGGGATATTGAAATTCTCTATTAATATCTTGTTGCTGGCTTTTCTGCCTTCCGATCTGGTAGTATTTGTTTAATAGTTAATGTATGCTACATATATAATTATAATTTTTACATCCTCCTGATGAATCAACTCCTTTATCATTGTATAATGATATTTGTCTCATGACAGTTTTTGATTTGAAGTCTGTTTTGTCTGACTTAAGTATAGCCTCCCCATTTCTCTTCTGATTTCCATTTGTGTGGAATATCTCTTTCAATACCTTCACTATCAGCATATGTTTGTCCTTAAAGCTGAAATTACTCTACCATATACAGCATATAGTTGAGTCTTTTTCTCTTTTCTGTTTAGCTGCTGTATGTCATTTGATGGGAAAATTTGGGGGGACCTACTATTGCCATCTTTATTATTATTATTAATTATTGTCTGACTGTTTTGTAGTTCCTCTGTTCCTCTTTGTGATTTGATCATTTTCCACAGTAATAATGCTTTTATTCCTTTCTCCTTATCTTTTCTGTATCTGCTGTAGATTTTGCTTTGTGGTTACCATGAAGCTTGTATAAAACATTTTATAACATTCTATTTTAAGCAGATAACAAGGTAGCTTTGATTACAAAACAAAACAGTTTTTTGAATAGAAAAACTCTACGGTTAAACCCCCCCATGCATTTTTATATTTTTGATTTCACAGTTTACATCTTATTGTATTGTGTATTGAGTAACCATTAGCAAGTTATTACGGGTTATTATGGGGGTTCCCTTGTATAAGACAGTTTTCTTCTCACTGTTTTCAAAATTCTCTTTGTCATTACTTTTTGAGTTTTATGTTAATGTGTCTTGGTGAAGTTCTCTGTGTATTGAATCTTTTGGGGGACTTAAGAGCATGATTTACCTGAAAGGTCACTTCTTTCCCCTGATTTGGGAAGTTTTCATCCATTAGTTCTTTAAATAAACTTTCTCCTCCTTCATCTCTCTTCTCCTAAGGCTCCCATAATGCAAATACTGTTTTGTTTTATAATGCTCCATAATTCATGTAGACTTTCTTTACATTTTTTTTAGTTGTTTTGTCTTTTTTCTGCTTTGACTAAATGATTTCAAAAGACCTGTCTTCAGTTTCATGTTCATTGTTTTGACTGATCATGTCAGCTAGTTTTCATTTCCTTCATTGTATTCTTCACCATAATTTCTCTTTTTAAAAATATTTTCTCTTTATTAAAAACTTCATTTTGTTTGTATATTGTTTTCCTTATTTTGTTGAATTGTTCACCTGTGTTTTCTAGTAGTTCATTGAGCTTCCTTAAAACAATTACTGTGAATTTCTTGTCTGACAGCTTGTAGATCTCCATTTCTTGAGGGCAGCTGATAAAGTATTGTGTTCTCTCAGGGGTATGATGTTTCCTTGATTTTGTGTGTGTGTGTTTCTTGTATCCTTGCATTGAAGTTCATACATTTCATGGAGCAGTCATTTCTTGTAATTGCTCTTTTTTTTTTATAGCTTTTATCTGTTTTTTTGAGGGGAGGTAATTAGGCTTGCTTATTTGTTTATGTATGTATGCGTTTTGGTGGAGGTACTGGGGATTGAACCCAGGATCTCGTGCATGCTAAGCATGCACTTAGCTATACCCCATCTCTTCCAGAGTTGACACAAGGTTTTAGTGGGGAATATTTCCACCTAAGTATGGGTGTGAGTTTGTCAGCTTGATGGGGAGTGGCTGTTCCAGCTACTAGAAGGCCTAATGGCTTAGTGTCTGTGCAGCTCTGAGAACCGAGGTCAGTGTCAGCAAAGATGGCAGAGGTGCTCAGTAGGTAGAGCTTTGGATGTCTGCAGTAGTGAAGACTGCTGGGGATCTCCTGACCTCTTTCTCCCACAGAAAATGTTTTGGCCGAGGGGTTCCTTCTTGATGCTAAGTCTGACTCTTGTAGGGGGCTTTGTAGCTGTGGTGGCATTGATGTCTGACATGGAGATCTGAATGCTAGGGTGTGAAGGGATGCAGAGCAGTAGCCCTGATAGGGTCCCAGAAACTGAGCAGCCTGCAGTGATGCTGACTTCACTTGTGAGATGGAATTACACGCTGAGTGGTGATGGCACCTGTGTGGGCACATGCAGAGAGACGGCGTCTCTGGGGTCTGAGGCACTGGTTCGCCCACAGAGGCCTTGGCTCTGGTGCCAGAGGCAGCAGCCCTCAGGTGACAGCCGTGGAGCCAGGTTATGGAATATGGGCATCCATGGAGCAGTTGTAGCTCTGGGGCTTGGGGTGTGTGCAGGATTTGGGAGTGGCAGCCATGATTGTGAAGCAGAACAACAGCTGCTTCTTTGGGTCAGGGGGTGACTCGGCATGTTGTTCTCTGGCAGGTCCCCCGCAGTGATGGCTACTGGTTACCTTAGAGCAGGAGCTGCCAGTGCCCTCTGCAGAGCAGGCAGCTGGGGTCTGTCACTGTAAACATTTGAGCTCTTCTGCTGTGTAACCTGTTGGGTCTGCAGGTGTAGCAGGGCCTGTCGAGGTTCTCTGAACTGAAAGCTGCAGGGGTCTCTGCAGAACAGGCCATGGGGGGATGTGATGGCTCCACCATTTGGTGGATACACATAGCCCCACCCTTCATCTTATTTCCTGTTCATCTTCAGGAGTCTGCTAAGCTGATGTCTCCCAGCAATCCTTTTTATGTGGTGGTTCGACTTCTTTATCTCCACTGTGTTGCTGCAGTGTCAGCTTCATTTGCAAAAATTTTCTCCCATTCCATAGGTTGCCTTTTTTTTTATTA